AATTAGTAGCCCTCCTATATACAATTGACAAAGAGGCTGAGAAGGAAATCAGAGATACATTCTTCATTTTTTTCTGTTTCCCTTCTCAGGCCTTGAACTGTTTCCTTCACATGTTTAATTGATTTTTCATGTTTTTTTTTTCTTTCTTTAAGGGATTTATTGATTTCTTTCCATTTTTTATTTGTCTTTTTCTCAATTTTTTATTGATTTCTTCCAATTTTTTTGTTTGTCTTTTCTTCAATTTCACTTTTTGTTGAAGGGCCTCTAGCATCTTCATGATGCTATGCATAAGGTTGCTTCCTTGTGTTTCTTCTACATTGTGATGTTCAGGTCTTGCTGTTGGAGGAGGACTAGGTTCTGGTGATGCCATATTGCTCTTTATGTTGTTGTTTGTATTTTTTTGCCTTGACGTCTGCCCATCTCCTCCTCTAATAGGTATAAGAGGTGCCTGTGTCTGAGCGAGTTGCTATTGGTCCACTCTATGTTTGTTGTGTCTGTGTCTCAGGGGGCCCCTCTGGGTCCAGTCTTAGCTTTTGGTCTAATTGGAGCAGGCAGATTCTGTGTCTCAGGGAGCATCTCTTAGGTCAAACCAAGCTAGTTGAGAGGTGGAAGATTCTATTTCTCAGAAATCTACTCTTGGTCTAATGAGGGGTGGTGGATTCCCTGTCTCATGAGGTTACTTTTGGTCCAATGAGAGCTTTGTCCATTAAGAGCTGGTGGTTTGATTTCCATGCCTCAGAAAGTTACTCTTGATCCAATGAGAGCTCTTGGTCCATGTGAGCTGTTGGTTTGGTTTCCATGCCTCAGGAATTTTGGGGGGTCTCAGGCAGATGGGTATGGGAGCAGGGCATGTAGATTGCAATGTCTGGTGGGGGAGTTGGTGAGGGGGCCCTTCCTGTGAGAGTTTTGCCTGCTGGCCAGCAACTGGGGGTTCCCGGGGACTGGTTGTGTCCCAGGGATGGGTCCTAGAGGCAGGGCTCTCTGGGTATGAGCAGAGTCATTCACCTCTTAGTCCATTGTGAGCTGGATATTTGGTTTCCTGCCTCATGAAGTTCCTGGGGTCTCAGATGGATGGGATTGGGGGCAGAGCAAGTAGATTTCACGGTCTGGTGAGGTGTTTTGTTGAGATGAGGGTCCTACCCACAGGAGTTTTGCCTGCTAGCTAGTAACTGGGACAGAATTGGGTGGGAGTGCCTGGGGACCGTGTCCCAGGGTGGTTCCTGGGGGCAGGACTCTCTGGGTATGATCAGAGTTACTCACATCTTGTTCCAATGCGAGCTGATGATTTGGTTTCTGTGCCTCAGGAAGTAGATGGGGTCCCAGGCAGATGTGTATGGGGGCAAGGCATGTAGATTTCAGGGTCCGGTGGGGGGTCTTGGTGAGGGGAAGGCCTTCTCACCAGAGCCCTGCCTGCTGGCCGACAACTGGGACAGAGTTGGGCAAGAGTTCCCAGTAACAGGCTTTACAAAATCCTCATCCTCAAGAGAGCAAGAACATATTCTTAAGTGTACAATAATGTAGATAAGTAGAAAAATCAACAATTTAAAAAAATTTAGAAGCATTCATGGTTTATCTTAGCTCATTATAATGTCTTCATGGTTATTAAATATGTAAAACAAAAAAACTACCTGTAAGAATGGCTAAGATAAGAAACACTGAAGACAGCTTATGTTGGAGAGGATGTGAAGCAAGGGCAACACTCCTATACTGTTGGTGGGAATGCAAACTGGTACAACCACTTTGGAAATCAGTATGGCATGGCACTTTCTCAGAAAATTGGGAATCAATCTTCCTCAAGACCCAGCTATACCACTCTTGGGCATATACCCAAGAAATGCTCAATCATACCACAAGGACCCATGCTCAACTATGTTCATAGCAGCCTTATTTGTAATAGCCAGAACCTGGAAACAACCTAGATGCCCTTCAACTGAAGAATGGATAAAGAAAATGTGGTACATAGACACAATGGAATGCTACTCAGCAAAGAAAATCAATGACATCATGAGGTTTGCACACAAATGGATGGAACTAGAAAAAATCATCCCGAGTGAGATAACCCAGACTCAGAAAGACAAACATGGTATGAACTCATTCATAAGTGGATACTAGATGTAAAGCAAAGGATAACCAGACTGCAACTCACAGCTCCAGGGAGGCTGGCTAGTAAAGAGGACCCTAGGAAAGACACAGGGATCAACCAGTGATGGAGAAATGAATGAGATGTACATGAGCAAACTAGGGGAAGAGGGAATGATGGAGGATAAGGGTCGGGGGAAAGAGAGCTTAAGGGAGTGGGAGGTCCTAGCTGGATCAGGAACAGTATGGGAGAACAAGGAAAGAGATACCATGATAAATGAAGACACCATGGGAATAGGAAGAAGCAGAGTGCTAGAGAGATCCCCAGGAATCCACAAAGATGACTCCAGTATAGAGTGGAGGGTGACTGAGCTGACCTACTCTGGTGATCAGATGGCTGAACACCCTAACTGTCATGATAGAACCCTCACCTAGTGACTGATGGAAGCAGATGCGGAGATCCACGGCCAAGCCCCAGGCAGAGCTACTGGAGTCCGATCAATGAGAGAGATGAGGGATTATATGAGCAAGAGATATCAAGACCAGGATTGGAAAAAGTACAGAGACAACTAGCCAAACTAGTAGAAACACATGAACTGTGAACCAATAGCTGAGGAGCCCCCACAGCACTAGACTAGGCCCTCTAGATAAGTGAGACAGTTGTTTAGCTTGAACTGTTTAGGGGGGCCCCCAGGCAGTGAGACTGGGACCTGTCCTTAGTACATGAGCTGGCTTTTCAGAATCTAGTGCCTGTGTTGAGACACTTTGCTTAGCCTTGGTGCAGGGGGAAGGTACTTGGACCTGCCTCAACTGAATATACCAGGCTCTGCTGGATCCCCAGGGGAGTTCTTGCCTTGGAGGAGGTGGGAATGTGTGCTGGGTTGAGGGTAAATGCTGGAGGGTGGGAGGAAAGATGACATGGGAATCTGTGGCTGACATGTAAAACAAATAGAAAATCTCTTAATAAAAAAGAAGGAAATCACAAAAAAATGTAGCAAAACCAAAATATTCTTCTGTAAAGTTATTATTAGAAGAGAAGAGAGATTCAAGTATACATTCTTTGATATGTTCAGACTATTTGTAACTACTTACAAATTTCAGGAATAAATATTTTAGGAAAATTCAAGTTCATAACTAAAGTATTTAATCATGAATTTAGCACAGCAATTAATGTGCATGTGATGTTATACAGACTTATACTCAGTTAAAAGTTGCTAAGATTTTATTCATAAAGATAAACATATGAGTTTGGTCAAAAGTGCTAAGTTAAACTTTATTAAAAACATAGAAGAATACTTTGCTGACATTCCTGTGTGGAAAAATCTTTGATATTTAGAATTTAAGACAAAAAATTAGCAATGAACTGTTGGTTGATCATTAAATGTCATATTGTCCTTAAGGTGTTAAATGATATCTATAGTGAAGAATGGTACAAATATTCAATGTAAGTCATATTTGCTGGTTTTGAATCTATTTAATACAGTTAGTCTCTTTATCTGAAGTAATTGGAACACATTTTTAATATTATGAATTTCCTTTGGGACCCAGAAATTTGCCTATGAACCTTTTCATAGCATTTTTCATCTCTTTATTTCTCAGTGTATAAATGGCTGGGTTCAGAAGAGGTGTAAAAACAGAGTAAAACACGGCAAGAAATTTGTCCAACCAAGTGATACTGAGGGGCCACACATAGATGAAGATGCAGGGCAAAAAGAAGATCATCACCACTGTGATGTGGGCACTGCATGTGGACAGAGCCTTAGATACACCAGCTTTAGAGCTCTGGCAAACAGTGAAAAGGATATATGTGTAGGATACGAGCAACAGAAAGAAGCAGGTTACAGCCACAACCCCACATTCAGCATTCATTAAAGTATTTAAATCATGGTAATCCATGCAGGCTAGCTTGATCACCAATGGCATGTCACAGAAAAAGCTGTCTATTTCCTTGGGGCCACAAAAAGGCAGCTGCACAACCACTAAAAAGTAACTTATACCATGTATAAAGCCAGTAGTCCAAGAAATCAGCACCAACCCAGTGCATCTTTTCAGGTTCATAATGGTAAAATAGTGGAGTGGTTTGCAAATGGCCACATAGCGGTCATAAGCCATTACCACCAACAACACCATCTCTCCTCCACCAATGCAATGAGAAAAGAAGACCTGAGACATGCAACCTGCAAAGGAAATAGTCTTGACTTCCCTGAGAAAGTCTGATATCATCTTAGGAGTGGTGTTTGAAGAAAGACACATATCAACAAAGGACAAGTTGGCCAACAAGAAGTACATGGGAGAGTGGAGATGGCGGTCAGTGGTGATTAAAACAAGGATGACAATATTTCCAGATACAATGAACAGATAAAGTATCAAAAACATCACAAAGAGTAAGACCTGCAGATTCTTCGAATTGGCAAGTCCCCAAAGTATAAATTCTGACACCACAGACTGATTGCCTCCATCCATTTTACTCAGTGTCCCCAGAAGAAACCTACAAAAAAAAAGAAAATTATCAGTTAGTCATAAGAAGATTGTACTTCTTTTATAGAACTTGGCATTCCCTTTGAAACTTACCTGAATAGAAATGCATAAATGTAAAGAGAAATCTAAGGTAAATGTGAGTGGCACTGCTGTCCAAGTGAGCTAATGATCCAAGATCAACTCCCCCACAAAGAGATGCATCAGATGTGACTGTTACACCCATGATCTATTAGGAAATTCATTTCCAGGAGAGCAGTGAGGAAGCAAGACAGCAACGTGAAAATTAATATATATATATATATATATATATATATATAGTTTCTTAAATAAATTGTCTAAATTTATCATTAGCAGTTATGATATTCTATAACAAAAATGAGGTATAAATTCAGAAATTGTATTGAAGTTCAGTACAAATGATCAGACAGGATGTCACCATTTTTGGAAGCATGTGTGATGACTTCATTGTGCATCAGTAAATTAATATCTGTCTGATAAAGTAAAATTTTAGCTTAAAACACTGAAGCAGGGAATGGAAAAACTTCAGTTGGGAAGCCTACAAAATACCATATAAGATTTACACAAATATCAGATAGAAACATTAAACCAGGTTTACAGTTATTTATTAATAAACATATATCATTGAATTTATTTATTTAACTAGACTGGTTAACAAAGTACCTTAACAAAATCTGTGGGCGTGAATTTACCAAAGAACAAGGCAGCACATATTCCAACCTGAGCTCTGAAAGTCACATTTAGTTCAGTCTTAGCACTAGAAAATATTGTTTTTAACTTGTATCAACAGATATTGAGAATTGTTAGACTTTGAGATATCATAGTTTCTTGACATGTATAATATGTCATCTACCATCAATCTATCAACAGTATATTTTCTCATTATATCACTTATCTACTGATCATTTTTGTTGTTTTAAAGAACAGAATGAATTACATAAACATGTAAGCATAGCTGTTCTTTGACTGTCAGCCTTGAATGGGTGTGACATTATACTTTACGTAAGCATCACTTATTCACCTCAAAGCACAAGCAGAGTGCCTATACTGTTCTAACTGATAATATTCAAGCTGGATGTTGGATAATCATTCTCCCTTTTCTGCTCCATTTAGTAATTCTCAACTTGTGGGTCTTATCATCCTTTATCCTTTGAAATGGGAGAAATGCAGCAGGTGAACAATGAGATCCCTGATGCTATTATCAGAACTATTTCACATTTCTGTTTTCTGAGGGCTCAGAAAAGTGGGGTAAGGATGAAAAACAAGAAAGTTCTGAAGACATCAGGTATCACATCCATCTGCTATAGCAGCATGATAGCAGATAAGTAAACACATGTGCCTTATAAAGATTTACCAAATATCTAAGGAAAATACACTGATTATACAAGAGAGTTGATGCTCCTTGATAAGCCTGATTTTTCACATGACAGCTTCTGGTCAGTCTGAAAATTTCCAGGGCAACTTTTTGGGTTTTGTTTAGTTTTAATGGCTTCTTTTAATTTTTGAGATTATAATATAATTACATCATTTCTCCCTTCCCTTTTTTCTCCACATATTATACAGTAGACCACCTAATTCTTTCTTTTAAATTTGTGGACTTTTTTTTTTCAGTAATTGCTACTGCATGCATATATGCTCATATCTAAATATAACTGGCTCAGCCTGAATAATGTTGGCTTTTATATTAACAAACATTAATGAAAAGAGACAAACTGAATTATCTTTTTTAGAGTCTGGAAGCAAGCTATTTATTTTCTTGTACGTGTAAATTTTTTCTGTATTGATTGCCCTTCTATTAAAGTGCTAAAATTTGTAATAGTCTCAAAATTTAAATTTTTTTAAGTATTTATGAATATAGTTATATTAATAAAACTTAATACATATCAAGTGATAGATAATGGTGGTTTAAAGAGTGATATTTTAGTAGCTTCTAATAGTTTGCTTTGCTAGCAGATTGGTTGCTATTGGGTTTTTTCACTGTCTGTCTGTCCATCTGTTTGTTTTGATTTGTTTTTTAGGGGGTGTAAGCTTAATTTAATTTTTAAATATATTTTAAGTGAAATATAATTACATCACTTCCCTTCCTCACTTTCCTTCTCGTATCCCTTCCAACTACCCTCCCTAAACCCTTCTAGTACCACCACTAAAGTGGATAGCCTCTTTTTCTTTTGGTAATTATTCTTAACTCGTGTGTGTGTGTGTGTGTGTGTGTGTGTGTGTGTGTGTGTGTGTGTGTGTGTAAGCACAAACATACACACATAACCTGTTGAGTCCAGTTTTATTATTGTGTATGAATTCAGGACTGTCCACTATACATTTGAAAACAAATTAAGGAGCTCATCTCTGGGAGCTGCTAACTCTCCTCCCTGGAGTCATTCATTTTCAGATTTTTTAAAATTTGAGTTCTATAATAACCATGTATTATGTCTATTCTCATTTAATTTGCTATCATTTTTACCATTTCTATGCTGAAAGTTATCTTATATATGAGTCACTGTGACAAAAATATTTTGTCTGGGTAAGTTGAGGGGAATATTTGTACAATGGTAGCTGTATAATGCTGTTATGGATTATCTGATAAAGAATGATGATTTTCTGATTAGACATGAATAGAAGAATATGAAAAGTGGAGAAAACACATTAATTGATATCCAAAGATGACAAAAGACAAACAGTTCTCAGCCCATCACATAATGGGTATTGATAAAAAGAGATAACTAGAAAATTTTTAAGAATTACCTAACAGAAGAATATCAGAGAGATGACTTACCAAAATCATAATTTTCTCTTGCATCAGATTTTCTTCCCACCTGATGTGTGCTTATGAAGACATTCATGTAGTGTAGGAAATAGTCTTCTCTTCAGCCTGACCAATCTTCACTTCCTAAAACTGTCCCATGGGTGAATCATGTCCCTTGGTCTGTGTTCTGAACAAAATGAGAACTTTGGAAATAATTATCTTGGACATCTCTTAGGGATTTCTCTGATACGAGTGATACTGAGTGCTGCATATTTGTGAAAATAGAGAGACAAGTAAAACCTTCTGTTAGTCAGTCCAGCATTGATAATGTTAGTCAACTTTTCAAAATTATTCACTTCATCAATAAGGATGAAGGAAAAGCATGCTGTCTGCATAGTCTGTTACTGTATCAATATAATCAAAGTGACTAAAAAAAATTATAGTTATGAGACCATTTGCTAAGAGTGTGAGATATGACTAGAACAAAACACATGCTTTGAACATAATTCCCTAATGTATGGTAAATCTGTTTCAAGTCTTGGTCACATAACTGATGTATTTTGGTGTATTCTATACTTGTATGTGATATTAATAGGTTTAAATTGGCTGTCAAGTCATTTAGACACCAATGTGCTTTTTAATTATTTACCTATGCTTATCATGTATGCATGCGTGTGAATTTGTGCCATAGTATGTATACATATATATGAACATATATGTGTGTGTGTACATATATATACACACATATATGTATGTCAAAGGTCTTTCTGTCAATTCTCTTCTACCTTTACCAATTTTCTAGGGGTTGATGATCTTGGATTGTCAGATTTGCAGAGCAAACATCTTTATTCTTGGAGACATTTTGGCTCCTTCCTCCTTCACTATGTTTTAAAAAGAAGATATAGATGCACATTTCAAACATACTTATTTTCATCTTAGATTTAAAACATTTAACCAGATCTGCTAAAAGATTGGCCTGTAGAGAAAGCAAGGGAAGTGACAGAACTCCAATTCAAAGATTTCCAACATCACTCAATGTAACATTTTGTGTGAGAATGTCTCCCACAGGCTCATGTATTTGACCACTTCCTTCCCAATTGGTGACATATTTGAAAAGGTTATAGGGAAGTATGGATTTGAAGAGGGACATATGTCACTTAGAGTGGGTTTAAGAGTTAAAACTTGGAGCCACTCCAAGTTCTCTCTCTTGGCTTCATGCTGTTTTTAAAGAACCAGGCTCTCTGCTTCCTGCTTCTGTCACTTGTAGTCATGTTTCCTGCCTTTAAAAATTCTTATTTTTCTAGAACAATGAGTCCAAATAAACTCTTCCTTCTAAACAATAAACAAATAAAATATCTATTTTATGTAATAGATAAGAAAAATGAAATTTAAAATGTAAAATTTAAGGAGTGTTGATAAACCCATTCAACTATGAAGAAATATCATGACATCATAGACACTGAACTAGTTCCTTAATCCATGATGTTTCCTATTTTGTATTTTTGTGTGGTGTATGCATATGTGCACATGTTACAAGCATGTGCATCTGTAAGCTAGATAGACGTCAATGTAGTGTTTCTCCCTATGTTATTCTCTACCTTATTTTTTAAGTACTTCTGTGCTTAATATTATGGTGAATATAAGTTGAAGTTATTTATAACAATTTAATTTCTTTTTCAAAATTTTAACATAATTAACTTCCCCCAATTTGTCTCCCTCCCATCCCTTCCTACCCATCTTTGATATTGCTTTTTTCCTCTCTCTCTCTCTCTCTCTCTCTCTCTCTCTCTCTCTCTCCCTCTCTCTCTCTCTCTTGGTTTTTTTGAGACAGGGTTTCTCTGTGTAGCTTTGGTGCCTGTCCTGGATCTCACTCTGTAGACCAGGCTGGCCTTGAACTCACAGAGATCCACCTGGCTCTGCCTCCCTAGTGCTGGGATTAAAGGCATGCACCACCACCACCCAACAGCTTTTTTCCTCTCTTTCTCCATTGAAACCAGTTTGCACTGCCCAGGTATTCTTGGGAATAAGGACTGCCTCAATGTGTGGTGGGCCTACCAGAGATCATATCACTAAAGGAAAATAACAGTCCTATCCCCCTGCTATCAAATGCCAGTAACTCCTCAGGGAGCAATGGGATTTTGTGCCCACCTTCCCACCTCTGGATGGAGCTTATACAGGCTTCATGTATGCTGTAACAATTGCTGTGAGTTCCTATTGTATCAGCCCTGCT